AATAGAGGCTGGTTTCGATTGGTGCATCCGGCCCTAGTTCGCGTCCAGTTTGAAGATAACGACATAAGTATTTTAGGGTCTGGATATGATAGTGACCGAAGGGCCTCTGATTAAAGCTCCCATTGCGGGCATCAACGTCCGTATCCAAGACGGAGCAACTCACGCTGTGGATTCCACCGAAATAGCCATGATCAACACGATGCAGAATATGATGCGTGAAGGTAAAAGGTTTTAGTTTGGGCTGTCTCGGTTTCTTCATAATCTGAATATGTTTTTCGTGCAGCCTTCGAAAAAGCTGATTGGATGCTTCTCGAACCTATTATGACAGTGGAAGTTACAACTCCATCTGAGTTTCAGGTTCGTTTTTACATAAATCATTCTTATTGGTCGACTTCAAGGATTATTCAGAATTTTCGTGCTTTTTTTCCTGTTAAATGCACATTTCACGATTGTTAGATGAGCAGAAACTCACGGACATTGCGCCTTCCTTATTGGCCTGTGTCTACTCCATATCGTATGATAAAGAGGGTGCCACGGAGAAAGACGCAAGGGTTCTGTATCCACGCCCATCCGACGTAGAGTGTGCCGTTGACAAGGAGCTGCAGTAGATGTTCTTGCCAAACAAGATCCTATTTAGGGCAACGTAACAACATCGCTAAGCCAGCGGAATGCTATGATCACCTCTACCGATACAACAGAAGGATATACTACGATAGTTTGTGAAGTTAGTGTCTTTGCTCTCTGAGGCTGCGTTCATACTTTGAGTCGGCGTATGGCAGCGTTTCGAGCGGACGCCAGCGACAGCGAATAGAAACGTTTAGGTATTTATCTAGTGTACGCCAGCGTAAGCAGCGTTTTCGCGAGCAGTTTTCCTCAAGCACAAATTGCTCGTGAAAACGTTGGCGTTCGCTAGATTGATATCATATACTTTCCTAGTCGCTGGCGCTGGCGTACGCTCTAAACCTTGCCATACGCTGGCCTTCGCTCACGCAAAGTATGAGCGCAGCTTGATCCTTGCAGTCGCCGTTGAAAGCAGCGAAACTTTCCAGTGTCCTTTGTCCGACATGTTTGGATACACTTCTTTGTTACGATCGTTGACAGAAGGAAAAGGAGAGTTTACGATGGAGTATTCTAGGTGAGTTCACTGTCTGTGACCCATGTGCGACAGTGCTCACCATGGTTTATTGGAGGAGGGTGGGCTATAAATCCTCCCTGGAGTAGTTGGTTCAA